TTGACAATTCTTTGCTTCATCCAAATTTAGCCGTGCTTAAGGGATTAAGGAACTGTGGGTTCACTCAACAAGGTAGCTACAATCGGAGGATTGTAAAGGAAGAATCGAGGTCACCATCTTGCGATCAAATCAGCCAAGCAGAGGGTTTGAGAAACTGTTTGGGTTCTCAACAAGGTAGCTACAATCGGAAGTTTATCGGAGATTGGTGTCATACTTGGTTCAAATCGAATCAAGGGAAGATAGGAGCTTAGTTTTCAATTTAAAATATTGGGTTTGAATTGTGGTGACTATTTTCTATCTCTTGTACAAACATTTCAATCATAATAGCAATTATCCTAATTCTACTTCTAGAATTAATGGCAGAGTATCCCACGCGAGGACGACAGCGGGAACTACCTAAACAAATCGTGTGTCATTTTTCTTTCTTGTCTTTTACCATTTATTTACTAATTTGTGAATTTTCACTTGTGGTTCCAAGTGTCTGGATTTTTAGTGTGATAGAACTATTGTTAAGGACTATAGTAATCACTGTGATTGCTATAATTGGTTTTAACACTACAATTTAAGATAGATTGGACTTGGTGTGATTACGCACACCAAGTGTTCGATAAAAGTTCAAAAGTGTAAATTTGTAGATTTTATACTCAACAATTCATTGGGAGTAATTGACTACAGTTAAAAAGTATAAGTGATCTATTATAATTTAATTAAGTGTTAATAATTCTCATTGATTCATTTCATTCGGTTTTACGCGTATCCGGTCTTTTCAATAGAGGATCATTTTTAGACGAGTGTATCTGGGTAGCTTTCACTGCGTTTTAAGTTTTCATTAAAAACTCTTTTTAAAAATCACGGTATCTATTCAACCCCCCTTCTAGATATGTCATATCGTCTAACAACTTCTTCTACAGATTCTTGTACAAATTGTACGGAGTTCTTCATCACCGATGTTGTACTTATTCTATTTAACAAACATTATTCCAATATATTTATTCGTTTGTAGGAAATTGTTAATTTAACCTTTATATTTCAAAATTGATAGATATCCAAGACTCGATCAGATGTTTTAGCATGGGCACATACTATTGGAAAACAACACGGTATTATTATTGTCACTGTTCATTCTGATTTGGCTAATGGAATCCCAGGGAGGAAGGATAAATTGATTATGGGTTGCGAGAGAGGAGGAAATTATAAAAGAAAGAATGCATGTCAAAGCACAAACTCATCTGACGACATTTATAGCATGAAAGTGAAATGTCCTTTTAGGCTGAGAGTTGTTACAAGTGGTGTTGGTTAGAAGATGATGGTTAGGTGTGGGATGCACAACCATAGATTATGTGATGATTTGGAAGGTCATGGTATATTGGGTCGTTTAAAGGATCATGAACGATCATTTTTTAGTGACATGATGAAGTACAACATGGCTTCAAGGTTCATAATTGCTGCTTTAAGAGACAAAGATCCTAAAAACCAAACTAGTGTTACCCAAGTGTATAGATCCAGAGCTAGATACAAAATGAGCAAGAGAGGACCGTTGATAGAAATGCAAATGTTGTTGAATCTTATTCACAAAGATAAATACATGTGTTAAAATATAAATAGGGACACCGTAGATGTTGTTGTTGATACCTTTTGGACACATCTGGATTCAGTGAAGTTGTTGAATATATTTCATTTGGTGTTGATTTTTGACTGCACATACAAGACAAATAGGTAATAATATTTTATTGGAAATCCTTACATCTCTTGTTTCCATGTTGATTTTTGTTGATTTTGATTATTTCCATGTTGCTCGTACAAGTACCACTTACCACTGCTTGGGATGGTTGGTGTTATGTCAACAAAGTTAACGTTTTCGGTTGCCTTTTCCTATTTGGAACCTGAAAGGGAGGAGAATTTCACATGGGAATTAGAGAAGTTGAAGGAGCTAATCTTTTCTTAGAAGTTTCTATCGAAGGTTGTGGTGACAAACTGAGAGCTTGCATTGATGAATGCCATGGAATATGTGTCCTCAAGTGCAGCTCATATGCTGTGTATGTTTTATATTTCAAAAAACGTGAGTATGCAATATAAAGAGTACCTTAAATTAGAAAGACAAGAACATGTCATGGATCTATAGAACAACATCATATATTCAAATATAGAACATGAGTTTTATGTACATTTCAAGAACTTCGAAAGTGTTTGTGGTGATATTCCTTTATTTGTGAAATATGTGAATGAAACATGGTTGACTCCTTAAAAAGAAATATTTGTTTCTGCTTGGACAAACAAAGCCACTCACTTAGGGAACACAACAACAAACAGGTACACAAAATATGTTTGTGTTCATGTTAGTACATTGCTAAACATGATCTAACATATATTCTTGTTTATTGTTTTTAGGGTTGAATATGCTCATTGGAGACTTAAAAACATGTTGGCTACAAGCCGAGGAGATTTATGCCAAAGTTGGGATGTTGTGAACACCATGTTAAAGTTGCAACTAGGTTCAATAAGGGTGTCTTTTCAAAAAAGTATTGTCAATATTAAGCATCGCTCCATTCTATTCAAGGTTGCATAGTTTTGTCTCAAGACAATGTATATAATTCATTGGAAAGGAACTGAAAAGGATAAAATTTATGGGCACATGCAAAGAAAGATGTAGTTGCTTCATTAAAACTACACATGGGTTATCGTATGCGTGCAAGTTTTCCAGTTTCCAGCTACAAGGTAACACGGTTCCTTTGGACTCAAATAATGTATTTTGGACGAAGTTGTATATTTCAGATCATGAGTTTAGTTAGGATGAAACTGGTACAAAATGGGATTTAGAGGCATAGTGTGAAGAGTTAAAGATATATTTCATTACTTAGGATATTGTAGGCCAGATGGTGTTGAATTAAAAGGTTCGGGAACTAATACATTCATCCATAACTTTTATGTGTCCATCGCCTATGAAGTACAAGCCAAAGAGGATAGCAAAGAAGAGTAAAAAAGGTACTAAGAGTGATGTGCATTGTGATCCTAGTCAGCGAAAATATGTAGAGCTCTCGCAAGGGAGTCAGAGTCAGACTATAAGGAGATCATTCACCAAACCAGATGGATGTCAATCATCAGCTCAACCGTCCCCCGCATCTTCAAGAAATAAATATTTTTCTCAATTTTCTGTTTTCTTACATCCATACATTAATGATATTATTGATGTTGAAAATGATGGGAGTTGTGGATTCCATTGCATTGCAGCTCAACTTGGATGGGGCGAAGACATGTGGGCTTTGGTTTGAACGCAACTAGACACTCAAATTCATCAATGCCCTCAATTGTTTTTCAAGTTGTTCTATGATTCAATTTCTACTATTAGAAATTCGTTACGAGTAGAACACATGGGTATGTAGAATATGGATAAATGGATGAGCATTCCTGATATAGGTTACCCTATTGCTTCTAGATACAATGTTGTATTTGTCTCCCTTTCCATGAGACTTAATATCACCTTTTTTTCCTCTAGCCTTAGCTCCGCCTATGTATACGAACAAGCATAGAATTATTGTTATTGGCTTTGTCAACAAAAATCATTGGGTTTAGGTAAAGTTGAAATTTGATTGACCACTGCCTCATGTCACTGTCCGTTGGAAAGAGAATTGTAGTGATGATGTAAAAGCATGAGAATCAGCATTTGCGAGTCGCTTTAAGCACCGGAAAAATGAAGTTTTCTTAATTTATTTTATATCCTTTTATGTATGATAATTATTAAATGTTTATGTTTAATCAGGTACCATGTTTATTGATTCAGTTGAAAAAGAAAAAAAACACATGCTGACAGTGTACATGAAATTTCAAATTTTCAGAATTTTTCAGTTACTATCAAAAATTATGAAATTGACGGTAATTATTATAACGTCATCGAAAATTTGAAATTTCTGATAAGTTACAAATTTTTAGAGAAAATATGTGTTTTTAACAAAATTTCCAGTAAACATTTCCAATTTTCCATGAAAACAGGTTGATAATAAGAGCCTAGTAGCTACTAAAATTTGCTTAAAAAACAGTTGCTAACATAATACGAAAATCAAACTAAACCATTATATTTATCCTTTTTTGAAATTTTAATTTGGCCTAAAGAAGTTCATATATTATCTTTGGCAGTGTAAAACCAAATAGTGTCCCCGTGTGAGTGTGATATTAGCTAGACTCAAATAAAACTACTAGGTCAACGTTTTTAGGCAGCATGATCTAACTTTTGACCTGAATTGTATATTGTCTCTAACTTAGGGACACATAATTCTTTCACATTGCTCACTGGAAAAACGTATGATTCACATTGCTTTGGTTACGCATAATAATAATCCAAACTAGACTTTTATGTCCACTGTTGTCTTGTGTGTAAGGGAATGATTTCCCTATTTGCAATTGCTAAACCTCACGTACACGACTTTATGCACAATTCTTTGAAGATTGAGAAACCATGCGTTTCAATCTTAATATAATAAATGCAACCAAATTAGAACTACTTCAACACATGAGTTCTATTTTCTTATATTTAACTGTCATTTTGAAATTATATTTAATCATGATTTAACTATGATAAATTTTAAATCTCGACCAATGATCTATCTTACATGATTCTAAAGACCTGGGTCAAACCGATTTTTAGTAATTTGATTCTGTAAATGATATAATGGTATGATTTTCTATCATATCCATGTTAAAAATAAACTCCATGAATTTGAATTATCTACATTGTTCGATTTATTTATATCCTTAATAATCTAAATAATAAAACAAATATTTCTTAGAATCTAAATAGTGAGATGATAAAGAAGAAGATAATAAACATAATAGTATCCATAAATGTATAATATGTATTTACATGATAAAGAAACAATCTACAAATCACATACACTGCAAATTCCACAGAAGAAAAAGAGCCATGGAAGAAAATAATTCAATATCTATAACAAAAAATAATCAAACGAATAAATGGAAGAAGAAGAGAAAAAGAATTTAAATATAAGCTAATGTCCTTTGCCTTTTTTGCTTGGTCCAGAAGCAAGTATGAAACCAACATTACGATTTGCAGCATTATTGTTGAACTTGTTAGAAGACACAAAAGAAGTCACCTCATCTTTTCTAAACTTCTTGGCTCGAAGATCTCTGCCATGAACAAAACATAGTTGTGACGACATCACAAGCATGATCATAAAAAACACAATCGATAAGCTTTTCTTCATAATCACTTTTTTTCTCTCGAAAATGGCTCCAATTCCTTTTCACAATATTCCTTAGGTTGTTTGAGTTATATTTTAATTTCCAAAAGGTGTTATTTTTCTTGAGCTAAACCAAGAGGCAGTATAGTTTGGTTTATATAGAAAATCAAATAGACGGTGAAAACGTTTTTAAAGTGGGGGCCTTTAAAAGTTGCGTTTTGATTTGATGATAACTGCTTATTTTGAATAATTTGATTTGAAGAATTTGTGTTGTGTTGTGTTGTGTTGTGGTGACACTCGTGTGGGGTTATAACCGACTTTTTGCTGGTTTCTCACATTGCTTTGAAAATGTTGTGTTTGACTTTAGGATTGTAGAATTCAAAAGCGAGTAAAACACATAGACTAATAGGTTTTTTTTGTTGCTAATTAGAATAATTAATTTTAATGAAAAGATATTGATAATGAAAGAATGGAAAAGGGAGTGGTGAATTAGTCTCTAATTAAGTCAGTGTAGGAGGTTAATTATATGAGTGTGATCTTTGCATATAATTAAGTTGTTTCACACTGTGATTGAAATAGCTCATGCTTACGCGTACATGATCGTTCTATGTTTAGTCACTAGTATGCATCTAAATTTTCTACCTGTCTCGATGAATAGGGAAATGGACAAATATTCTCTTTTTTATTAGAGTCCAAGACGGAGGATAGGAGACCGACACATTCCTATACATGAAAAACATTGGATGCACATATATGTTTTTTTATTTCTTCTTTGCTCGACAAAAATAAAGATGTGTTGAAATTAGTCTAATATGTATGTGTCAAAACGTCGAAGTAAATTGTTCGACAGAGTTTTTATAGTTTTGAAATTTAATTTAGGGAGAAACAAGCTCAATTATAAATAGAAAAGAAACTCTTATTTTTGTAAACACAAAATTTATAATTGTAAAGTGAATAAAATTTCTCAGTTGAGAAGCAGAGAAATTTTTTTTAGAAAATCTTCTTTTTTTTCAATTATATTTTTCTTTTCTTCTTCCATTATTAATCGTTGTGCGGAATCATTCTTACAATCAAGGTTGGTTGATTCACTCGAGTGAAGAGTGAAGAACAAGAAGAATTCGATCGATGTCATTGAATCTTGTCATTAAGATTGATTAGAAATTCTCCATAGATTTTGGTGGATTTTCAAGATCTGGTATCTAGAGCACTGGCTGAGCGATTCGTGAGAAGAAAATCATGATGACAATGAATCATCCGAACGGGCATTTTCCAGTAAGTCTTATAATTCTGAAAGTTGATAACTATGAGAATTGGTGCAAGCAAATGAAGATTGTTTTCTGTTATTAAGATCTTAAAGATCTTGTGAAAGAAGAAGTTGAACTGCTTGCAGAAGACGCGATGGATGAAGAAAAGACTGGACTGGACACAAATAATTGAAGAAGAAGAATTATAAAGCTCTCTTTATAATTCATCAATGTGTTAGTCCAGATAAATTCGAAAAGCTGAGTGATGTTGAGTTAGCGAAAGAAGCTTGGGAGATTCTAGAAAAGTCTTTTAGAGGCGCAGAAAAGGTGAAAGAGGTGAGGTTACAAACTCATAAAGAATGTATGGATTGCTTCAGATGGAAGAAAGTGAAAGCATAACTGACTTCTTCACTAGGGTTACGAAACTGGTGAATTAAATCAAGGTATGTGGAGAATCATTGACATCAAGATTCGTTGTCGCAAATATCTTGAGGTCATTGACAAAGGTGGAGCTTCAAGGGACGCTTAAACCTCATGAACAGAGAATGGCTGAAAGAGCTACATGCAAGTCAAAGAGTGATGTGTCACTGCAAGCACAATCAATAAGAGAAAAGAAAGGTAAAAGAAAGTGGTTCGACAAACAATTTGACTGGTAGAGGAAGCCAATAAGAAGGAAATTCGTCGAATAAGAGAAGACCCCCGTACCAAAGCAACCAAAGAATTGGTGTCGCAGGTAGAGGAAGAGGCGGTGGTTGAAAGTCTGACAAAAGTCACATTCAGCGTTTCAATTGTCAGAAGTATGGTCATTATTCTAGTGATTGTCTAAAAAAACAAAAGAATCAAGAAGGTGACGCAAAGTTTTCAAAACATGAAGAAGAAGAAGAGATGATGACTATGGTCACAAAAAGAGATAAAGAGAGATTCAAGGACCAATGGTACTTGGAATTAGGATGCTCATCACACGTGTATGGAAGAAAATATTGGTTTATCAACATAAAGCCCTCGATGAAGAACATGGTGAAATTTGCAAATGACAATACTCTAGCAGCTGAAGGTATTGGTGATGTTCTAATCATGAAGAAAGATAGCAAAAGGCCAGTGATTTCTAATGTATTATATATACCAGACATGAAAATTAATCTGCTAAGTATATGGCAGTTGGTCGAAAAGAACTACAAGGTGTCGATCAAAAACAAGATGATGACAGTGGGCGACTCAAGTGGAAGGCTAATATTGAAGGCTCCTATGTCTCATAATAGAACCTTTAATATTAAACTTAATGTCATGAAGCACAAGTGCCTTGCGACAATAGCTAGTAGGAATGAATGGATATGGCACTATCGACTAGGCCATATCAACTTCAAATACATCAGGAATATGAAAAGAAAAAATATGGTTTCAAGATTATCATAAATCTACATTCCAAACAAAGTGTGTGAGGAATATGTGCAGACGAAGGAACACAAGAATAGCTCCAACAAGGATGCAGGAAACAAGTCGAAGGTTATTCTTGAAATTATATACTCTGATGTATGTGGTCCAATCCAGGTGGATTTGACTGGAGGTCATTAATATTTTATCACATTCATAGATGATTTTAGTAAAAAATCATGTGACTTACCTGATCAAGAAGAAAATTGAAGTGATTGAGGTATTTTACAAGTTTAAATCTATGGTCGAAAGGAAAAGTGGTCGAAAGCTCAAGATTTTGAGGACTGATGGTGGTGGAGAATATGTGTTGAAAGACTTTAACATGTTATGTGAGAAAGAAGGGGTTGTACATGAGGCGGTGCCACCCTACACTACACAAAAAAATGGAACTACAAAAAGGAAGAATCGAACCATCGTGAATATGGGGAGAAGTATGTTGAAAGGCAAGCATTTACCCAAAGAATTTTAGGGTGAAGCTATGTCGACTGCAACATACATTCTGAAAAGATGTCTGACGAAGAAGTTAAAAGGAATTGCATTAGAAGAATGTTGGTCTGGTGTTAAACCTAGCTCGAGTCATATGAAAGTGTTTGGATCTATAACACATAGACATGCGCCAGATCAGTTGAGAAGAAAACTTGATGACAAGTTGAGTTAGATGATCCTAATAGGATATCATTCAACTGATGGATACAAGTTGTTCGACCTAGTGAACAAGTAAGTTATGATCAATAGGGACGTGATCATAGATGAGCTTAAGGAAGGAGATTTGAGTGAAAATGTCAAGAAAGATTCAGTGAGAATCTTATTTGAAGAACCGACAACTGAAGTCGAAAGAAAAATTCGACAAGAAGAATTTTAGAGATGAAGTATGCCCAAGAAGACCTAAAGAACAAGACACATGCCTGCAAGGTTGCAGAAATATGTGATTATATCAGATGTTGTGGTCGACAATGAAGGTGAGCTGGTACGCTATGCTTTCTATGCAGATGTCAAACTAATCAATACAGCTGAGACATTGAAAGATTCGAAGTGGGTGAAAGCAAAGAATGAATAACTGAAGTCCATCGAAGAAAAAAAATACTTGGTCATTTGTCGAATTGCCTCAAGGAAAGAAGGAAATCGATGTGAAGTAGGTATACAAGCTGGAGCTGAATCCCAAAGGAGAAGTAATTCGACACAAGACAAGACTTGTGGTGAAAGGATTTCTTCAGAAATAAGGAATCAACTTCGATGAAGTTTTTGCACCTGTTGCTAGGATCGAGAAAATCAGGTTAGTTGTTGGTCTAGCAAACATGAACAATTGGCACACATGTCAGATAAATGTGAAATGTGCATTCCTAAGTGGTCCCTTAGACAAAGAAGTTTATGTTGCACAACCAGTTGATTTTATGAAACGCGGCAAAGAAAGAAAGGTGTACAGATTACATAAAGCCTTGTATGAACTTAAACAAGCTCCAAGATCTTGGAATAAAAAGATCGACAATTTCCTAAGGGAGGAGGAATTTATGAAGTGTAATATATGTAAGAAGAATCAAGAGTTAATTGCTTATACTATGTCTCTATGTCGATAACTTGTTGATAAAAGGGAGCTGCAAGAAAGAGATCAAAGACTTCAAAGGTGATCTTAGCAAGGAATTCAAAATTTCTGATATGGGTGAAATTTCATACTTCATTGGCATCAAATTCCACAAGAGTAGTAGAGGTTTGGTGATGCATCAAAGAAGATATGCGAAAGAAATTCTCAAGAGATTTGAGTTGGAAGACTGTAACTCGACTTCGACACCTGCTTAACCAAGACTGCAACTGTCGAAAGATTCAGATGAAGATGATGTCGACACAACATATTTAAAAGACTTATTGGGTTATTAAGGTACCTTTGTCACATAAGGCCTGACTTAGCATAAATTCATGGAGAAGCCAAATGTATCACATCTAGCAGCAACAAAGAGCTTATTGAGGTATCTCAAATGAACTCTCAACCATGGCATTCTGTTTCCTGCAGTCGATGAAGGAAAAGAATGCAAGTTAGTGGATTACACCGACTCAAGTTGGTGTAGTAATGTTAAAGATCGAAAATCCATAACTGGCTATGTGTTAATGCTAGGTGGTGCACTAGTTGCTTGAAGTTCAAGAAAAGAACCTGTAGTGAAACTATCATCGTGTGAAGCAGAGTACATAGTTGCTTCTCTTTGTGCATGTCAAGCAACATGGATGGTGAATATAGTTGAAGAGATTACATGGAAGAATCATGGAGTAATTACCATGAAGATCGAAAACATGTCAGCTACCAATCTGACAAAGAATCTGATAGCACATGACAGGAGCAAGTACATCTAAATGAGGTTC